CTGTCCCCCGTTCCTATTTCCTGGGCACAGACTTTTGTCTCAGGCTCTCTTTCTGGGGACTCAGGCTACAAGGCCACCTGAGCCTCTGCGCTAGAAATCATATATTGGCACCCGGCCTCTCTCCCTGCCCCTTCCATATTCCCATGTGATGCAGGGGTTAGAAGGCCGAAGGCTACATTTCCTAGCCTGCTTGCTGCTAGGGATCTGGATGCAGCCTCGGCTCTGCCAGAGGGAAGCACCGCAGGACAGAGTTGGAAGGCAGAAGGGAGGCGAAGGCCATTCTCCTTCCAGCGTGCAATCTGACAGACATGAGTTTTTGCAGCAGCAGGACACCGTGTTCCTTCCACTTTCTTGTCACCGGCTTACTGGGTGGGCACTAGGATATTGGCAATCATTTCCTGCGAGGTGGCAGCTGGGGGAGGGTGACCTACCACAGGGCAGAAGCGTGCCCTAACTTCCATTTCTCCAAACCTTTCTATGTATAATTCCCTACATTAAATGTCTTTCTGCACAAAACACCCAGAGTGTTTTCTGTTTCTCCCACACTTAATTGGGCTTCCTCACCTCTACCTTATACTGTGTCACTAGGCTCAGGTGGAGGGAAGCTAAAAGGCCACATATTTACCCAAAGACACATCCAGAAAGAGAATGAGAGTCAGCAGTCACCCCCCTCCCAAAACACACATGTCTTTCCTTATTAGTTCAACTTTCCTTCTGGAAGTTGTAGCTGGAGCTTGGGTATGTGACCTGGTCCTGGCCCAAGAGCCTGAGGAATGCATGCAGAAGGTGGGTTCTGGGATAGCTTATATTTTTGATAAAACGAGCCACACAGGAGACATTGTCTCTGCCACTGGATGGGGTTCTGAGAGAACATGATGTTTGGGGGGTACTGAAAGCCATCTTGTAATCGTGCAGGGATACATCTATGGATGAAAGTCAAAATACTGAGGATGGCAGAGGAGACAGACAGAAACTACTAGGTTGAGCTGCTGCATTAACCCTGGGGCTGCCTACTTTTAGTAGCCGTCGTCCAGGCAGGACGCTTGCCCTCTGAGCTCTGAAGAGGCCGGTTCAGAAGGTTTCAGGGTTTTCCACCTGACATGCTGAGACCCAGGAGTGCTGGGTCCTCCAGGAGCCGGGCTGGGCAAGCAAGGCATTCACCTCAGATACAGAATTTAAGGAGGTGGCAAAAAATTCAGTAACCAGGATAAAAAATAATTTAATGCAATATTTAAAAAAATCAAGCTAATGCAAAAAACACACACTGAACCAAATACCAAGATTTTTATAAAGAGACTAAGGAATTAGTGTTTCCTGCTAGGACTGTTCTGCTTGTGTTTCCGCAGAGCACTCTCAATGAATCTCCTCTATGACAATCCAGGTGACGAAGCAGGGCCCCGGAATTTTGAGATCTGGGTTCAAGGATGGGCTCTGCCAATGACTCGCTGGCAATTCCAACAAGTCCTTTCCCTTCTCTGGACTCTGGTTACCCCATATGTCCTGTGCGGAGGCTAGGGCATTGCCAGGATGGCCTCCTGACCTGCCCTCCTCATCCCCATGGCCTGCCAAGGTTACTGTCCCTGTCCCTGGGAGGCTGTGTCTCCTGGGCCATTGACTCCCGGCTATTAATATCTCCGCCATCCCTGGCCTGATCAGGGTGTTTAATGACTGCCAGCTGTGGCTCCGGCCCCCTCCCTCGGGAGAGATAAGAACAGTTCCTGTTCCCACATGGGGGGAGACTGGAGGGAGGCAGGGTCATTGCTCAGGGAACAGGCCCTGGGCAAGTGGTGGGAATGGAGGGGCTGATGCTGACTCCTCACCCCACTGGGCCCAGTGCTGCCAGATGGGGGTGCCTGCAGATACAGACTCCCTGTAGCCCCTCCCCCATGGGAGCTGTCCTGGTCTCCCCACTCCTGCCTGAGCCTTGTTGCTTCAGATCCTGATCTCAGTAGGCTCACGGCTCTCCCCAGATAGCTCACAGATATTACATTCAGCATGTCCCAAACCAGGTCACCATCTCCCCAAAATCCCTCCTCCTCTTCCCTCACCCAAATGATGGACTGCCTCCTTTCCCTTGGCTTGGCCCTGGGGCCCTTCTGAGCAGACAGGGTGGCCTGCCCCAAGTGCACCCTCATCCCCTTGGCCCCATTTAAGAAGCCTGCATTGGGTTCCTGCTGCTAAGGACCAACCCTAGGTACCATCCCTGGGTACCCATCCCTGGGTTCACTTGGATTCAGGTATTCCTGGTGTCCATCATGCCCTCTGGGAATCTAGAGATCACTGCTTGGTCCTTAGAGACAACCTCTCTTCACCTGGAATGTTGCTCCCTATCCATTCAGTGGGCACACTGGCCGCCCTCCTTGTTTAGCCTGTGCCCTAGAGTGGCAGGTACTGTCCACATAGTGGCCTCTGCCATCGAATTGATGGTGACTCTGCATCAGGATGGTAGGAGGGCCCCTTGCTCCTCTCTCCAGGAGGTACCCACCTGAGTTAACTGGGCTTTGCCTTCAGGGAATGGAGTCAGGGCTCAGTCAAGGGCCAGGGCCCAGTCTGTACCCTAGAGACTCAGCCCTACAGTTGGGACTGAGACAGGAATCACCGTGTGCCACAAAAGTCAGGGGCCTGGTCTCCCTAATCCCAGGCTGTCCCTGGGGTCACTAGTCCTGTGGTCTCACAATCTCTTCCCTCTTGTATTTCACTCTGAAATGATACTGAGGGGAGAGTCCTGCCCTCTGTGTCACCTGGCTTCCTGGGGTGGGGCCTGCACCCTGGCTTTTGGGGTGGAAAGGCCAACCGTGGTGAAGTACTTGAGGTGCCCACCAGGTGGCGATAGAGATGAGCCGGACTGGCTCTCCTGCCGGTGCCCTAAGAGGCAGGAGAGAGACCTGGGAGCTGGAGGGAAGAGGGAGTGCAGGAGAGATGCTGTTCATGGTCACCCCAACTCCATAGGCAGCTTGGGATGTCTGGCCACGGTCTCTGCTGGCCTGAGATGCTGTTTCAGCTTCTCTCTGTTCCTGATCGCCCAACACTTTGGCTTTGCCCCTACTGCCACCTCTAGGGCAGGATGCCACCAATGTCCTCCCTTTTGTCCTCCCAATATCTTGGGTCTCTCCATGTTTGCTTCACTTGCCACTCTCCTGGCTGATAAGTGATAGTCTGGTCTCCCCAGGGCTCTCTCCTTACCCTGATGCCATGACTCACTAATGGTCGATTTAAGGCACTGTGGTGGATGGGCTGGGTCCAGCTTGGCCCCTCCTGGCCTTCTCCTAGCTCAGGGGGCCTGTGGGGTCCCTGATTTGGAAAGTAAGGTGCTGCCCTTTCCTCTGCAAATGCCCTGCTTCTAGGATATGTTAACTCTTTCCATTTGCTTCCCCTCCTCCCTCATTCTCTCACAGCCTTCATCCCCCACTGTGTCTCTTGTTCCCAGTCTGCTGAGGGATCTCCCTCCAGTTGGTGTCTTCCTTGAGCTCAGAGGACAGAGCAGGTGGCTGCCCTGAGCAGTCCCTTCCTCCTTAGCTGCTCTTGCCTTAGCCAGGAGCTGAGGCTACCCAACCACCAGGTGAAAAACCTGAGGCCCAGCGAGGGGGAACCAGTCTATGAGAACGTCTGAATCAGAATTGGGACTAAAAGACTAGTGCTGGGTCTTCTGGACTTTACTGGTAGACAAGGTCTCTGGATTCAGTTCAGAGAGGTCCTGAGTTGGGAAGGGGAGGAGGGAAATCAGAGTGAGTGACATTGCCCAGCTGGGCAACAGGAGCATGGCCATCTGGCATGTTCCCTCTCATACCCTGTGCCTTGGAATAGTAGGGGTGGGACTCTCAGGGAAGAATGGAATTAGTTCCAGGTGCCCCAAATGCCCCCACCCAGCTCTCCACCACCAGCACCCCATCAGTGGTCACTGCTGTTGGCCGGGGCAGGGAAAGAGATGGTGAGTGCCAAGAATGCTCTCTCCAGCAGGTCGGACAGTGCCAGAAACCAAAGCTAGGAACATTCCCTCCTCCGTCCTACAGCTGACCATGCACAGGGCATGACATGTGAATCTAGACGGGGAGAGTTTGCTACCGCCAGACCTCTTGGGCCACTGATCCAAGGGTATGTGCCTGGGGCTGCCCCTGTGCTGGGTTAAGTCACTCTGACTCTGGCCTAACTGCCCTGGACTCGGGCCTCTGCAGTGTGCTGAATGGGGGCTGTCATTTGGTGATGGGTCCTGGGATGGTGCTGAGTAGGACAAGCCCTTGAAGGAGCCTGGTAAGCAAATCTGGGCCTTTGCCAGTCTATTCTAGCCACTGCTGCTGCTTCTGCTTCTTCTCCTCCTTCTTTTTACCAGTGTGGCATTCCTCTCCTGCTTCTATAGCGAGATAGCCTCTTTGCAAGTTTGCAGGAAGTGGAAGCCAAGGGGTCAGGTCAGCCAATGGCTTTGGAGACCTCTCTTGCTAACTGACATCGACTTCGCCCTACTGCCTCTGTGTCTAAACTTTTCCATTAGTCATATTGGACCTGTCACTCATTTTGGTGATATTTGTTCTGTCCTCTATCTCCTCTTAGCTGAACTCTGGACAATGTCAATATGGTCAGCTCATACCCCCATGCACCCCTCCTGTCTGCAGGAATCACTGTGGCCTGCAAAATGCTCCCACTTAACCATTCTGGGATCGGAGGCAGCTCTGTCAGCTGTTTCTTACTGATCCAAGAATAGAATTGTCTCCTCTTGGCTGGATCTACGGGGTCAGGAGACACAATGTGGACCTGGTATAATCTCATCACTCCTGGAAGGCAGAGGATACCACTCAGTGAAACTTGAGTTGAAGACTTTTAGAACTGCATACTCTTCACTTGGGAGTATAGGATTCCCATCCAAAGCCAGAGGGGTAGTGGCAGCTGGCTAAAGTGACCTCCCCTCCTCTGAATGAGGGAAAACAGCTGTACGTTGGAAGCCATCCTGGTTTTAGACCACATGGGAACATCACTCACCAGGGAAACCAAGACAATTCAACCCACCATTTATTGTTGTACAAGCCTGTTTGCAGAACTGAGGGGGTCTTGTGGCTGGGGCGTGGGCAGGAAGCCATGTGGCCACAGGGTGCAGGGCAGACAGGATGCTAGGACCACCAGCCCCTTGTCCGGATGACGTAGGGGCCAGAGGACTCCTCAGTCACATGCCGGGGTGGGTCGGGTGGGCATGGGGTTGCAGGGAAGGTGGTAATAATATTAGTGGTGATACAAACAACCAAGAGGATTCAGCTTGTTAAAATATATAAAATGCAGCAGTTAAGAGCTTTCACTTTCCCGTCAGTCGGATCGGAGATCAAACCCTAGCTGTGTGACAGGTGAGGTTCCGCTCTGTGAGACTGTTCCCTGGTCTGTGAAACAGGGACAGGAGATCCCACCTGACTGGGTACGGGAGGGTTAAGGGGCTCCGCAGTGCACACCTCTGAGCCTGGTTCTAAGAGCTGGCACACAGGTGGCCTCCCAGGGAAGCCTCCCCTGCCCGTGGGGCTGGGCAGGGCCGGCGGCAGTCTCAACTGTTCCAGCCCTCCCGGCCGCTCCACTTGGGCGGGGACGAGGCAGACAGGTGCTCCCCAAACCAAACTCCCTACGAGAACCGCACCTGCCCGAGGCCGAGGCCGAGGCCGGGGAACTCCTCCACCGGGGGCAGGGGCCGGCAGCTTAGCGGACGACGCCGGGTGGGGGTGGGCACCTCGGAAGAGACGCCTGAACGGCAACGCTTAACCCAAAGGAACTTGGCAGCGATGGAGGAACTTCGGGCCCCGTCGAGGTGGCGGCGGCGGCGACCTTTAGGAGCAGGAGCCTTGTGTCCTCAGCGCGCGCTCCGCGTTCCCACGCCCACCGTCGGGGACCCGCACGCGCGCCGGCCGTCCTGGGCCGAGCCCGGCGTGGGCGGGAGGAGCCCGAGACCGCGCTCCGCCCCTCATCCTCCGGGTTCGAGCCCCCGCGCTCCGGCGCGCCGAGCAACGGCTCCCGCACCTGGGCCCCCTCCTCTCCTCGGGGGAGCGCGGGGCGGGCGCTCTCGGGGGCGTCCGGACAGCGGCCTGGGGGGTCGGCACAGCCCCGAACCCGGGCTGGGGCTGACCTCGCCTGGGCGGGCGTCCGTCCCGGTGGCGCCGGGGTGGTGCGCGCGAGGGGCCGCGCTGGGCCGCTGGGCGCCCGCGGTCAGACCAGGGAGACCTCGGCCTGGAAGCTGGAGGAGCGGCGCGCGCCGGGGCTGACGCGGGTCAGCATGGACACCTGCGTGCTGCACGTGGCCCCGTTGCTGCCTCCCGAGGCGTGCTGGTACTTGGCGTTGGAGCCCAGGATGCCCTGCAGGTGCCAGCGCCGCCACTTCCGCCGCAGCTCGGCCTGCACCTGGGGAAGGAAGGGTCGTCAAGCCCGCCCCCAAGAAGCCATCGGGCTGCTCGGGATTAAGGCGCGGCGCCACCCAGTCATATCCTCTTGGGGAGTCTGCATTGAGAGGCCCGGATGCAACCTTGGCCAGCGCACAGTTGGGACCACATAGGAATGGGGGTCAGATCAAGGCCTTGGAGGGGGAGGAGGAGAGAGGAGGCAGAGAGGATCAGAGAATGCAGGCCAGGGAGGGAGAGGGGTGCTGGCCTGGGAGCGGCTGTATCCCCCTTCTCTGATCCCTGCCCACCAGCTCACTTGGGCTCATGTGACTGGATGGATTTCTGTGCTTTGTAACTGGCTCCACTGGCTGCCCACCCCTGCCCCTCCCTCCATCTCCATTCTCTGCACCCAGCTACTTAACAAACTGAGGTGCTCCAGAATCCCAGGTGTGTATGTGTCTGTTTTAAAATGCAGATGCTAAGTCAGCCAGTCCTGAGGGGCATGAGTGGGGCTTAAAACAGCATTTTTAACCAGGTGCTAAGTGTGTGCCATCACCTATTTTCTGGTCTGACCACACTTGGAGTAGCAAGATTTAATCCATCCTTGCTCCCATATCCCATAAGTGTTTCCAGACCCTGGGCCAACCAGAGTGCTATTCCTGGTCCCCAAGGTCTGGGAGGGGCTTACCTCGCCATTGAGGAAGCAGTAGAGGATGGCCACCACAAAACCCTGCAGAAGAAGGGAGCAGGAGAGGTGAGGTGGATGGACTCTGAGAGCCCCTAGCCCTGTACCACCCTTGGCCCTGGCCCCCCTGTGTTCCCCTGGTTAATCAAAGAGCTAAGCATACAGTAGGTACTTAATCAGTATTTATTACGGTGAAAAAAAATGGAAGCCACTGGCATGGGGCCAAGGTCCCAGGTTAACTTCCCTTAAAGCCCAGAGAAGACCACAGGCTTCGGTTGAGAGTTCATACCTGGAAAGACCCCACGATGAGCTCAAAGACCATTTTCACCTCAGCTTTAAAGTTGCTGGGAAAGAAGGCGAACATGATGTAGTGTACTCCAAACAGGGGGATCAGCAGAAGGGTGGACTTGGCCAGCCTCCTGGGGACAGGGGAGGGGCAGACAGTGGGTACAGGAGATAGTGACAATGACCGGGATGTGTGAGGGTGGGCTGCTGGCTCCTGGAAATATTATGCGCGCCTCTGTTCCCGTTCCGTATCTGCAGTGCCTATGCCCTCATGCCCCTCAGCTCTCCTAGCCTGGAGGAAAGCTTGACGGAGGACACTCTGTTCTCACCCTTCTGGAGGACAGACTATAAAGGAGGCCAGTACTGAACTCTGAGGATGAGACTAGTATTTCAGGCTTGGTGGCAGCAAAGGGAGAGATGTTCTCAGCCAACAGGAGATCCTGGTTTCTCCTCTCCTGGTCTCAGTTTCCCTAATCTTTATGTATGCTCAACATGATCAAATTACAGAAATGCGGCCCAACTGTAAGCTCAGAAGTGCTTTAAGTGCTATAAAGTACAGTGCATCTAGGAGAGACCAATTTTCTACTGGGGATGAGGCCATTTCGGAAAGAAGTCTTTGTAATTGGGGTGACCACATATGCCCCAGGCCACTTGGGAGGATGCTGAGCGCTCAAGTTTGTGCATGGTTTAGCACAGCTGTCTTTGGCTTCTCAGCTGTCCACTTCTCTAGGAGTGACCACATTTTCTGCAATTGCTTCTCTCTCTCCCAGCCTCCCCATGCCAATACACACACTCCCAGCCTCCCCTGAAGGACCAGCGCCTCCTTCACCAGCCTTGTGTGCTTGGTAGGGTTAATATTCATTCTAAATGACTCATCCCTCTCCTGTGAAGCAGGGGTCATCTTGGTGTAGGCCTCCCAGCCACCTGACCTCAGAACTGGTCCATGCAGTGTGAACCCATGGTTCCCTGGCTGGGAGAGGGCTGAGGGGCAGGGGTCTTGGTCTTTATCTCTTCTTCTTCTTTGGCAGTCAATCCAGGGAACATTAGTCCTGGGCCTCAGGTCCCACAGCAGACTGTGGGCAGAGATGCTGGCCTTGCCCCTCTTGCTCCTTCTTCTTGGACCTGGTTCCCCGCCGTGCCAAGACCTTGAGCACTGCCCACCCATCTCTGGCCACAAACCTAGCCCGAGCTGACAGATGGAGGCTTTCTTTAAATTGAAGGCTTATGGTGAGGTGGAGAGTGGGAGCTAACAGCCCCTCAGCAGGGAGCTCCATCTCCTATTCCCCCCACCCTCTGCCTGCCGACAGCTGTTCAGTTTCTGTCTCACCCACGGGGCCCTGGTGTTGACCAGCTCTTTGCCTCCGATCCAAGTCCTTTGGAGCAGTGGTACACTGGGGAAGACAGGGCAAAGTTGAGGATGAGGATGCACAGGCCCGAAATGCTGCCCCCTGGCAGACTACAGACCTCTGCGGTGCCTTCCTGTTCTCAGACTGGAAGGGAAGCTCCTCCTACGCACCCAGCGGGGGAGAATGCCGTCACACCAGGAACGTGAGCCTTAGTCTCAGCAGAGAGAATCACAGGATTCCAGAATAGAATCCTAAATCCAGCAGCTCGTGACATTCTAGCCAAGAATCTTAGAACCACAGCACAAGACTCCCCAAAGAGAAGCCAAGCCAGGAATGGTCCAGAAGCTCAGGACTGGAAGGGCCTTATGGGAAGCCCCCGGGTTGTCTGGTCTCTGGAGTACTGATAAGGAATCTCCTATTCCTATCTGTAGGCAGGCAGACCCCTACTCATCGCCCCACAGCCACCCTATCTCTTTCATTCGGTCTTCAAGCTCTGTCATTCTCATGGAACCCTTCCTGTTCCTCCAGTCCTCCCAAGAGCAGAGGACAGCCCTCACACCTAAGTAAGCAGCATGACTACAGTCCCGTGGATGCCGTGCCCTCCCCTGCCATGGCGATGTGCTCCCAGACCCTTGAAGAAGAGGAAGTGTGTGTCTAGTTCCTCACCTGTAAAATGGGAACAGCTTAGAGGGGACTGTGTAGATGACATAAGATGATGTGGGGAAACCCCTTGACACATGCCTACTGCACGTCCTCTGCAGGTGGACTATTACTGGGGGCTACTGCATCCAGAATGTGGCTACCCCATTGTTCAGGTGGGGGCTCTCCCAGGGCATGCATCTACTGTGCATTTACTGTGTCCCGTTTCTGCACTGGACACGTGCCAGGGACTGGGCACATGGTGTGAATAAAGCACAGGTTGTCTGTTGTCTTCTCCAGCTCCGTAGCTTGGTGGCAAATGCATACCTGGGTCAGATCACTTGCTTAGGTAAGTGACCACAGGATAAGCAGGTCTGGGGCTCATGAGACCGGTGACGGTGGGGCTGGGGAAGGGGACACTTGAGGGCTGAGCCAGGTCATGGGGGTGGAGGTGGGCAAGAGCAGGGTGGCTTTTTGGTGACTCTGGAGTCATCAAAGTTCCCAGAGAACTTTAAGGAAATGTGGGCAGATTTGAAGACTGGGGACAGAGACATGGGGAGGTCCCAGGGCTTACTCACGAGTATGGGCTGCTGTCACTCTTCCCAACATTTGGGGACCGAAGTTTCTGAACCAGGATTCGGATGATGAGAATAAATAGGATAAAGTTCACCTGGTGAATGAGGTCAAGATTGATGGTCAGAAAGGGGAGGAGGCCTGGTTGTCTAGCTCCCTGGACTATTTTTTCCCCCAGGACCCTGTTGCCTGTCCATCTTATCTTTTCCCTAGTTTTTCACCCTTTGGGCAGGCTATGTGGGAACTGTACTTCACATCGTAAAGACTGGGCCTTCCAATCCATTTTCTTGACCCTAGAAGAAGAACTGATGGGAGGAAAAGGACTGGGATAATCCTGCATAGGCAGGGGCACCTGGGTGCTCAGTGGTTGAGCATCTGCCTTCAGCTCAGGGCATGATCCTGGGGTCCTGGGATTGAATCCTGCATCGGGCTCCCCACAGGGAGTCTGCTTCTCTCTCTGCCTATGTCTCTGCCTCTCTCTCTGTGTCTTTCGTGAATAAATAAAATCTTTAAAAAAATACTGCATAGGCAGTGGGAAGCCTGTGTTTCATTTCTAACCCTGACGTGAATTTCCTGTGGCCTGAAGTAAGCTGACTACCCAATCTGGGCCTCAGTTTCCCCATCTCTATGTGGTAGGAAGAGGTCTTACCAAGATGGAGGTGAGGATGGGGGCCTTTATGATCCACCACAATGAGGAGTTGATGGTGTCCCAGCATCTGAACAGAGCATGATGGGGGAGAATGAGAGCAGTTGTCCTCAGCCCGAGTCAGAGGCCCTCCCTCAGCTCTGCCCCAGAACCCTTTAGAAACTACACGTCCAGAGTCTGTTACTCCCAGGTCCCCCTCATCCCATCCAGGGGATCTGCCCTGAGTGATGGCAGCCAGAGGGAAGGGGCGTGGTGGCAGCTCACCCATAATCTTCAAAACGGATCATGATGATGGTCCACACCATGGTGAATGTGCTGGGCACCCCTGTCAGGGCCGAAGGAGAGAGAAAGAGAGGAGAGGGCACAAGAGAGAGATTTAGGAAAAAGAACCAGAGATAAAGGGGGAAGAGGGTGGGTTGCCAGGGCTGCCACCTGTGGTGGCATAGATTGTTCACTGTGCAAAGATGCTCCATCCATTGAGGGGGTGGAGCTCTATGCCTGAGGGGCTGTGTCCACCTAAAGGGAGAAACTTTTTCTAATTTTGATGGAGACACTTTACAGACTGGCAGTGGCCCTGTATTTCAAGGGCTGGAGGGGAAATAGGCGCTCACAGAACCTGTCCCACAGATGGGCCCTAGGAGCAACTGCAGCCTGAGGGCGCCTGCCCTGGGGTCAGACATTTGGGGGACTTTTGTCAACCCTCCACGGAGAGCCTGGCGGGACCTGCAGCCCAGGGATAGTTAAGTGTGCAGGCAGGGTCGGCACCCACCCTCTAGTGGGCTCCCCGGCCTTGTCCCTTCTGTCCCCAGCCTGGAAGCCCTCCCTGGTACCATACCCCAGCCGATGAGTATGTACCCCCAGAAGTACTTCCGCTCAGAGAAGAAGGAGACGGCAAGCAGTGTGTGCAGGTAGAGGCCCTCCACCAGCAGCCAGAAGAAGTTGGCCATCACACAGTACTGGAAAAAGACGACGGCTGCCTTACAGCTCACCTGCAGGCGGAGGACAGAGAAGGGGCTGACTGGGGCTAGCAGGGCTCCCTGTCTGCCCATGGTCTATTTGGGCCAGCAAACAGGTGCAGCACGGCCAGTTTAATCTCTTTGATATTTTTGCATTGTCCTCTTAGAAAGGTACCTGGTGGTTTTCCCATTATCCTTGATTTTAGATAATCTGATATTTTGGGATAAGCTTGCAATTTTAATTATCCATCATCTGTCAGTTTATCATCTATTCATTTGCCTTCTCTCTTTCTATCCACCCACCCACCTATCCACTTATTTACGCGCTAGATACCCACTACCAGCTCACCCATCTGTCCATCCACCATCCACATGTCCACTGATCATTTTATTCATCTTCCCCTCTATCAATCCATCCATGCACTCACCCATCTATCTCTCCATCTTCTACCTATCCACCTACTAGACATCCACTAGCATCCGTCCACCTAACCAGCTATCCATCCACTCATCCATCCACCTATCTACTCACCCCCTCCTCTACCCATCATCTATCCAATTTTTCTTGCTTTGCCCATCTATCCTTCCACCTACACAGTCATCCATGCACCTGTTTACTCAGCCATCTACCTACCCATTCACTAACCCCTCCCCAACTTACTCATTCACCTTATTTCAATTAGGATTGAAGGCAGCTGGAAGAGGTATGAGGGAGAATTCTTGCTTCAGTTTGCAAGAGTTGCCTAAAGGTATAGAGCTGTGGGCTGTGGAGTGGGGCTCTGATGGAGGTGCTGAGGACAGGTGGGGAGAGGGAAGAGGCAGAGGAAGAGGAAGTAGAAATGGAGAGGGAAGGGATGGTCATTCCTCCTAGAGGCAGAGGGGCTGGTGGGAGACTGGGTTCCTCAGGCAGGTGAGGGCAAGAGTCAGGGGGATCCCTGAGTAGGGCAATCAGGGTGGCCCACCTGGCACCACTGGAAGGTCTTCTGGGCCCTCTGTCCTCTCCCAGAAGCAATCTTCCACTTCAGATCAAGCCCAAATACCTGTGAGCCAGAGCTTAAAGCCATCCCCCTCCAGGAAGCCCTCTGGATTCCACTGCTCCCCGGAGCACAGGTTCCCAACCTTCCTTCCTGTGTCCTTGGCTTTAAGACATCCTCAGCGAGCAGCTTGCTTTCCTCTCCCTCGGGCTGCAAAATCCTTCCTCAGGTGGCACACCAGTCCTTCCAGCTACAGGCGGGCCTGTGTCCCCTGTCCTCCCCCACTTGCTTTACAACTAGAATAGCTCATCACTTTAACAGGACAATTATCTGTGCTTCTTGCCTTAGAAAAGTTTCAGATAGCTGCTAATGAACCAGGAAGCCAGTCTCCACAATTAGTCTTTTTTTAAATTTTTTTTATAATAGTCACAGAGAGAGAGAGAGAGAGAGAGAGAGAGGAGAGGCAGAGACCAGCGAGGAGAAGCAGGCTCCATGCACCGGGAGCCCGATATGGGATTCGATCCCGGGTCTCCAGGATCACGCCCTGGGCCAAAGGCAGGCGCCAAACCGCTGCGCCACCCAGGGATCCCTCCACAATTAGTCTTAACAAGAGTGCAGGAGCTTCCTGGCTTCTAGGCTCTGTGGCTCAGAGGCCCCAGCTCCTGGGTGGGATCCTCTGAGGAGCTCTGGGATTGGCTAGAGTAGCCATCCTGGGTTTTCTCTCCCTCTTGTTAAGATCCCTGAGATTCCACCGTCATAGGTTCATTTTCTGGGGAGAAGGTATTGCTGATCCCTGAAATAATTCACGGCTTCTGAGGTCCCTCATGAATGGGTAGGAGCCAGGGCTGGTCTTGAGCACTTGGAGAAGGGGTCCAAAGCTCACGATCATTGGAGATGGACCCCTTAGTGATGGGCAATGAATTCCTTAGACACTCTCTTAACTACTCTTCCTGAGGAAGGTCCAGAACAGGACTGATGGCAGGGGAAGAAGGGAAGAGAAGGACTGTATGTATTTGGACTTGCTCCAGGTGGTGGTGGGGGGGGGTCGGGGGGGGGAGTAGGAAGGAAGCTTGGAAGTCCTTGCAAGATGGGGAAACTTAGGCGGGGAGTTCCCAAAGTTCACTTGGGAAGTTAGCGATAGTGGCAGGATGGCGGGGGTGGGGGGGTGGGGAGGGTGGGGGTAAGGTGGGGGGTGAGGAGGGGTGAGGGGGTGGCGGGGGTGGGGGGCTGTGGACTCTGGCTACAAAATGTTGCATTTCCTGCCAAGGAGAGGCGTCTGTCCCAGGCACGGGCAGGTCTGCAAGCACCTGGGGAGCTGAGCACCATGTCCTGTTGCTGGGAGGGGAGTGGGATTCAAGGAGCTGCAGAAGGGATCAGATAGGGCTTTGGCCATCCTTGGGGAGAGAGAGAAGAGGAAGGAGGAGAGAGGAAAGAGGAAGAAGGAGTGGGAGAAGAGGGATTCAGGTGTGACAAGGTGCAGAGGGCGAGCGAGGTGGGCCCGGGCAGGGTTCTCACCGAGCCCTTCGTGCAATAGTCCAGCTCCTCGCTGTTGAAGAGGGTCAAGTCTTTGATGAAGACAGAGGCGGCCCTCAGGATGAAGGATATGAAGAGGTGCATGTGGATGTAATTCCGCGTGCAGTGGAGCTTCCTGTGCAAGGTGGGCAGTGCTGGGGAGTTGCAGGGGCCTTGGAGCCCCACCCCCACCACACCGTCCAGGGGCTCCGCTGGAGGGCAGGTCCCCCCCCCCCAGGCACCCCAGCCCAGGGCAGCCTGGTCTCCCGATGCCTCAGCCTCCAGGGCCAGCCCCTCCCCCTGGTGCCCTGTCCCCAGGCGCAGCCCCATCCATGGGGACTTGGCCAAGACAGGTGGGACACTCTGAGCAGCCTGGTGTCTCCCCGGGAAGGCTGGCCTGGCAGGGGAACAGGGGCAGGGACTGTGTGCTGCCTGGGTGGGAGGGGGGCTGTCAGGGGAGGGGGCCGGAGCACGACTGGGCCTGTCTGGGCTGGAGCATAGGAGTGACCTGGCTGGGTCTGCTTTAAGGCTTGTTGCTGGGGCTAGACCTCACCTGAACAGGCTCAAGATGGCCGTGGCAACCAGAAGGGTGGCGAGGGACAGGCTGTAGCCAATGGTGTAGCCGGTCTTCACAGAACTGTAGAACATTGACTGCTGCTGCTACAGGGGGGAAGGGGGGGTCTTAGGTGGGATGGGGTGGCCGCATCCAGGGTATGCTGGCAGGGGCAAGTGCCCCCCCACCCGGCCTCCCATCCCTGCCTTAGCAGATGAAGAGGCCCAGGGCTCAGCACCCTCGCGGCCCAACATTCTAGCCCTTCAGACACTGTATGAGGCCCTTTCCCTGTGCAGCAAGAGAGGCACACGGGGAATTAGAACAGCAAAGAAGACACTGGGGATAACTACCCATCATGGGCTCTCAAAGGCAGTGGTCAGCTGGATGAGGGTGATCTGGCCTTTCAGGGGCTGGCAGGACTAATTTGGAATCCAAGGGATTTTTGCTGGGTGCCTCCCAGGGCCCTCCCTATCGACACACGTGCAGAGCCTCAGTCACTGGGCAAGTCCCTTCTTGCTCTCCACGTCCTACCCCTGCCAGAGTACAGGCTAGTGGTCATGTGGGATTTAGGGGATTTAGATCCTGCCTGACGACCTGATGGGCTCTGAAGGCCTCTGAGGAAGTTTCTTTCATGGGACGAGTGAAAGCTCTGAGAAGAGTGTCTGGGGTGGGACAGAGGTCATAGCCGATGGGCACACATATACACCTGTGTCCCAACACCAAAGCAATGAGGGGTTCCTAGCTGAGGACTCCACTTATGCTCTACCTTCCTATCAGCATCCCTACCTGGCTCCTGGGCTCACAGCCATACAGCTTCACCTGCTCTGGCACATAACCCTGTCCTGGGACTGAGGACCACGGTCCTGTCCCTGTTCCTGTCCCTGACTGGCGGCTGGGTATTGGCCCCTCAGTTTCCCTCTGCCTGAGTTGGGAAGATGATACCTGCCTGCCCTGCCACCTCCAGAGCTGGAGCAAGGCTCCCAGGGTGGCCCAGCCGGGGGATGCTGCTTCAGCTTCTGCTGCTCTGTGTCATCCTGATAAAAGCCCTCTTCCTGTTCCCAGTCAGGGAGAGACAGGGGGATGAGCCACTGGAAGTAGCAGTCTGGTAAGGGAGGAGGTTTGGGGGAGGGCAGACCCTGTGAGTCCTGGCTTTCACACAGACAGCAACCTTACTTCTTACTGAGAAAGTGGAAGGAGCCTCACAGGCGGAGGCACTCTGGGGGCGGCAGGGGTGCACTGAGGCCCACCTGGTGCACATCTGATGTCTTGTCTTCCAGGCCACAGGCAAAGGGGTAGGGGCCAGGCTCCAAGTGCGTCCAGCCCTCGTTGGTGCAGTTCCGGCTCACGTTGCGGCCTGGGTGGAGGGCAGGGGTGGAGAGGAGAGAGGATGAGGCTGGGGGCAGGGTGAGTCCGCAGGGTAGGCACGGCCGGTTGTCTCTAAGCTCACCTCATCCCTGCCAACCCTGGCTGCATCAGGCTCCAGCCACCCTGCACTAGACCCAGGGCATCACGAGGTGGGGAAACTCTCCTCCGGGGCTGCCAGGGGCCCCTCCAACATGAGCTACAGTCAGAGCAGGCCTTCTTGGGCTCAGCCCTGCCCCTTGTAATATCTGAAACTGACCCCTGGTGCAAGGCAAATAATAAAGAGATCCTCGTCACAGCCTGGATTCTTGGTACAGAATGACTCGCAGGACCCTTGTCATGAGCTAAATGTTCACCCTTGTCATAGGGTCACAGGCACTGGGGTGACAGATGGTTTCATTGTCCTGTGGGTACAGACAACAGCCCTCTGGCTGGGCCAAGCAGCTCCTCCTGAGTCAGCCTGCCTGGGCCGACGGGTCTGCTTTCCCCCCACGTCTGGTGTGGCTCAGATGTGCTGCTGGAGAGGCACCACAGGTGAGGCAGGGAGTGGGGTAGGGGGACACCTGATAAGGGTGTGGGTCTGAAATCCTCATAAATGGAGAAGCAGGGAGTCCTGGCAGGAACCCACCCAGGCAAAGGCATGTGTGAGGGGGATCAAGGAGCACAGCGCGGCAGGATCTTGGGGCTGAACTTCGCTGAGCCTGGGGCTCCGGGGCAGTGGCAGCTTCCACTGTCCTTGGAGGCCCAAAGCTGTCGGAAAGGGACAAGATGGCTAAGGGGGCATGTGACATGAGGGCTGCCCATTCTCTAGCCCAGGGAAGGGGTGGAGGAGAAAATCAGGGAGGCAGAGAAGATCCCCTTCCCTCTACCCCAGGACTCAATAGAGAGGCGCCTGGGTCCGAGTCCAGGAGAAAGCTGGCTTGCTGGGGTGGGAAGGAGGCAGACAGGGGAGGAGAAGGAAGGGGATGTAAGGAGCAGGAGAGACGAGGGCAAGAGGAGGAGGTAAAGGGTTGGAGGAAGAGGGAGAGCGCAGTAGTGAAGGGGATGAGGTGAGGGGATGAGGAATTGCAGAGAAAGATGGGTCCTAAGGTCTCTGCCCTGCAGTGCCTTCCTTACCAGCACCACAGCCATATTGTCACTGGTGTCACCATCATCCCACCATCATGTGAGCACTGCCACCAGCATCACTGTCACCACCAGCACCAGTATCATCACTGTGACCAGCATCACCACCACCAGCGCCATCACGGTCACCACAACCACTGTCGTCACCATCACTGGCATTGTCACTGTAACAAGCACCAGCAGCAGTGCCATTGCCATCATCACCTCCATCACCATGACAAGTTTGGAGAACCTTCACATGTCGATCCCATCCAGAGCACTCGAGGCCCAGGATCTTACTGGATCCCCTCAACCCTCTGGTGCGGAAGGGAATCCCACTTCATACTTGAGAAGCCAGGCTCTGAGGGGCCAAGGCCACATGGAGAGATGTGGCTATGGCAGGTGTGATCCCCAGAGCCTTCCCAGGTAACTTGGCCCTGTCTGCACTGGGGGGACCTGAGGACTTGTTTCAGGGGTCCAGGTGCAGAGCTGTAAGAGGGGTCGAGCTGTCCTGAGAGCTATTAAATGTATGTGCATTTAATATTTCTAAACTTGGCTTGGAATTCACTGGACCTGGTGATTCGCTGCCTGCTATTTCTGGAAATCCTCCTGGCTATCATTGAAAAGAGCTTCTTAGCACCCTACTTGATGGCCGAGGAATTGAGGGACAGCTAAGGGGTCAGGGGGACAGCCAGGGAAGGGTAGCTGGGCCTGGGTCTCTTTCCACTGCAAGGTCCTGGAGCAAGCAGGAGGGCTTCCTGACTTGGCAACCCTTTAGAAGAAGGCCTCCTGTGTATACTGGCCTGGGAACCAGCACAGCTTTTGTGTGTTGAGGGGAATTTGGAGGGCGAGAGGGAAACGCTAGGGCCTTTAACCCCACAGTCTCCCAGTCTCATGCTACAAGAGGCTCCCACTGCAAGAGAAGTCCTCACTCAGCCCCCTAGCTCCCCCCACTACCCCCTGAGCTGGGTAGGCTTTGACCAAGCCCTCAGTAAGCCTCAGGCCTGCCTCAGCCCCAGATCTAAGGAGCTCACCATGGGCCCCTCCTAGGATCCGATTCTTGTGTGGACTTCCCCCACCAGCCTGGGGCAAATAGAAAAAGGCCAAATCAGCCAACTTTGAGGCTGGGACATGAATACCTCACGTTTTGAGCTCTCCACTTGCCAGAAGAACCAGGGCTTGGTGAGGCCAGGCCCATGATATAGCAGGCACCTGGTACCATCATGAATTAGGTGACCCCTCAGCATCCACACAGCTGTTTTACATTCCTTCTGCAGGGGCAGGGGGCAGCAGATGTTACTGTGTTCAAGCTAGCCATTAGGAGTCATGATTAGTTCCACTAAAAGAGGGGGATGCCAAGGCTGAGAGAGGTTGGGTGACTTGTCTATGGTCACATAGGAAGGAAGCAGCAGGCTTGGGATACAGACCCGGGTTAGCCTGACTCCACATCTTTCTGGGCTTCCAGGGTAGCTGAAGGGGCACCCTGACCTCTGGAACCCTGGCTGCCCCAGATATTGGGGGAAGGTAGCAGATAGTGGGTCATCTTCAGGGCTGGGTGGTCTTTCCGAAGAACACCAGGACTGTGGCCCAGGTCTCAAAGGGAAATATTCTTGAGAACATCTCAAGGGTGGCCACCGTGAGACCCCAAGAAGCAGTCCAAAGTCTCTCTCCAGCCTGGGCCTAGGAACTAGCACAGATTTTGTGGGAATATGGAGGGCGGGAGGGAAAGGCTAGGCCCTTTAACCCCACAATCTCCCAGTCTCATGTTCCTCCCAAAACAGCCATCCTAGTTTTCACTCTTAAAAAAAATGTCTTTTCAAATATTTAAAGGTAAAAACACCACAGATGAAAGACACGCAGACTGTGCCTCAAAAGACTAGGCTCCAACGGACACTTTGGTGCCTGGATGAGCAGTCCCTCGCCTGGCCAGCACCCCTCCCCCGGCCCTGGGAGAGGACTTCTGTCAAATGCTCTTTGTCCTCTTTGGGTGTCTTCAGCTTTCCCTGTAGAACTACATCCCTTCCAACCCTTCGGGGGAGGACATTCTTTCTCCAGTCCTATTACCCAAAGAGGCAAGTGTTGGGGTTGGCATTATCCTGACGCTACACCTGCCTTACTCACAAACCTCCCTCTTTGGAGCTCAAGGTCACCAGTTTACACCTTCTTCCCAGGAAAACATACTTTTTCTCCTAACCTACTCTTCTATTTTTGTCCATCATTTTCAGAGGCTAAGGCCACCAAGTACAGCCATGCAAGTTGTTCACTGCACAAGGGCATCTGGCTCATAAATGGTGGGAGCTGCAATCTACCTCATATCCAACTTGTCATTAGGTGGGTTCTGGTGAGAGAGGCTGACTCTGCCTGAGGAAGGGCTGCCTTTTTCTCATCTGCACAAAGGCACCATGTGGGCCCCTGTGAGGCTGGCAGCCTTGGGGTTAGCCAGATGGTGGGCTGCCATCCAGGTTCTTAAGTGAAAGGGCTGCCTTGACAATTCCAGCAGGGACAGAAGGAAAAGCCGTCAGGAGGAATGCAATTAGCAGAGTGTCAGGGAGGAACACGAGTAGCAGGCACTTCCAGGGATCCGAGAGAAGGCTGGTTGCCAGGTTCTGCTGACTGGACACGTGAGAGCTGCTGGAGTTCACCGCCTACCTGCCCAAGTGCCGGGATCCCCTGGAGAGCGGGGCTAGGTGGGAGCCGGCCTGAGATCCAGCACATCTCTGACTGCTCTCAGACCCCTTAGGGAGGGCACCGACATCTCTCCCTCACTGGAGAGGGGTCACTACACTGAGCACTGGGGGGCAAAACCAGCCTGCTCCAAAGAGTCTCTGTGGCCCACCTCCTGTCCCCATTTTACAGAGAAACAGGTTCAGAGAGGGAAAGGCCACCTGGAGTAAGAGATACCCAAGAGTCTTTCTGCTGGGCCTCTGAATTCTTATCTAGGTTCAGCTCCTCTTAATCCTCTCCCCTCTAGACTTGCTCCTCCCTCAGGTCCAACCCAGTCTAGACTTGCTCCTCCCTTAGTCTTTGATGAGTCTTCCAGCTCATCAAACCTAGACCCAAGGGGGGGATATTCTGGATCCCTCCCTCTCTGCCACGAGCCCCCCACACCCTTCATAGGCAAGTTTCCCACTTGGCTCCTCTGTCATGCTCTAAGTCCAAACCATTACCACTTTGCACCTGCCTTGTGATTAGGGCTTCCCATCGCACCCCCAGAATCCTTTCTTTTCATGGAAATTTGAAATTATCAGTTAAAAACCTAAACCTAAATTGAACTGTGTCAGTCCCTGGCTTAATGCCCCCAGTGGTTTCTCAGTGAATTCAGGAAAAAGTTCAAGCCCTCAGTCCCTGGGGCCAGCATGGTCTCTGCCGCCTGTCCCTCCCCTCGGCAAGCCGGCCATCCTTGGACACCTGCCTTAGTGTTGTGCCTCACCCCTTCTCCCTCCCAGCACTCCTTACTATCTATGACATGTGTTTGGTTTTCGTGCTAAATGTCTTCAACCGGAGCATTAGGTCCCTGCAGGCAGATAGCACGGCTGTTTAAACGCTCCCCGCACTGTGTTTGTCTAGCCCGTGCCTGTCATCCTAGTAGATGTTTAATAAACATTCACTGAATGAAAGAATGGCTGGAAATATGCTGGAAGTTTCCTTAGTTAGTCGATAGCAAGAAAGCCCAGTTCCTAAAGAGGCTCCTCCTTTTCCTTTCTGTCTTCTATGAGAACATTCATTGAAGCAGAACGTGACATGGTGTGTAAGCAAACCCCAAAAGGTCATTGGCTCTAGGCAGTGCAAGGCAGTCATGACCAGTCCAGGATAACGGGAACACGGGAGCCTTAACATAGTCAGGCATCTGCCAGTCAATCAGTTATCAATCGCTGAACAAATATTTAGTGAGCCCTTCCCAAGTGCTTATCTTTTATGTGAAGAGTTAATGAAATCCCGAGAATCCTTCAAAGATCTAGTGCCAGCACATCCTCTTCCAGGAAGCCCCCCACTGACTGCTCGAGCCCCTTTGCCTTCTCACTTCCTAGACAGGTAAGTACCCACTCCAGCTGGCACCACCTTTGCTGCCTCAGCTCCTTTGTCTCAACCCAGGGCTCTTACCTCGAATTGGTGAAAAGAAGTTGAAGATAAGGGGGCAGGCCAAGACGACCACCTGGCCTGGTGGGGTGGCTGGCCAGCAGGTGAGGTTGTCCCACATCTTGCTACAGCCTGAGGGGTGAAGGGGGAGAACACATAGGTCAGTATGGTCACCAGGTTCTGCCAGGTTCCTCCAGCTTTGGGGCTTGAGCCCATAGGCACCCATTCCTCTTCCTCCTTGAGGGTCCCACCTAGAGGGACCTCCAGTCTGAGAGGCGGTGGGACCACCCTGCCCAGGCTGTAAAGGGCCTCTCCTGACAGGCAGCGGGGAGGAGGAGGCACAACTACAGCTCCATGGTCCTCAGTGAGGGATAGAGCTCCCCCTGAGCGTGTTCTGAACAGTGGTGGGGGTATTTTCCTGCCGCAGATAGATTGAGGGTCTCACCCAGCATTTGATGGACAGGTGCCAGGGAGGCCAGGCAGACATCCTGCAAGGTGCAGCACAATAATGAATTCTGTAGTACTCTGTAAGACTTTCAAATGAGCCACTGGGCATTTGTGTAGGGGAGAATCTTTTATAATGACCACAGCCTAGACTCTTACTCTATTTTGCATATAAACATAAGGCACTTACTGTACAGGTTTAACATGTGTGGCATTTTCCAGAAATGCAACTGAGTAAAGGGAGGGAAGACTATGTTTCATTGGATGTTGAATATTATTAGGGGTTGTTCAAGGTTTTGAAAAATCAAAAGCACTCAGCAATGCTGGCTGTGAATCTGAGACAGGGAAGCAACCACCGTATACATCAACCTATCTGTCGCCTTTCCAGAATTTACAACCTTCAGACTAGGTCTTCTTATCTGTTAGTGTGATCATGCCTGAATATGTGTACATAGTATCTTAATATAAATCACTTTCCTTTTTATTTTTCTTTTACAACCAGAACTTCATTTTTAAAAAAATGAATGCACATGTCCTGAATTTCACTTAGTAGTACAGGAGACATTAGAAAATATTTGTTATAAAAGGAGGTGTAGGGTTTGATGGGGGTAATGGGTGTATTGGGACTCAGCTAGTTCTGGAGGAATCTTCAGAAAATTAAAAAGCAACCCATAGCTCCCAACTCAGTCAAATGGTGACTTGTGCTGTGGGGCGGTGATGTTTAGGAGGTGAGTACAGAGGAGACTCTGTCCTCCAGGCGGTGTTTTCCACCATGTACCTATTAACCCCAAGGGCTGGCTAGTGAAGGCTGCACAGTGGGGTTCCGAGGAGTCTGCTTTAATTGGCGGATGTATGATTTTGCCAGTTCAGGGCCTGGGGGCCCCTGAGGGACTAGGACTCCTCTGGATCCCCTTCCCTGGGGGAGATTTAATTGTTTCTTTTCCACCCTGCCAGTCTCATAGATTTTTCTCAGGAAACCCAACCCCTGAGCCAAAGCCAGTGCCAGCTGGGCCCTGCCCAGCCCAACCCAGTTCGAAGGTTCATAAGTTCTCAAGAAGGGGGCCTGGGAAGAGGAGATGAAAGGATGTTCCCACTTGGGGAAGAGCCCTGGGACTCTGAGCACTGAATTGGGCTTGGCAGTGGGGAGCGGATACCTTCTGGGGTTGCAGTAGCCAGGTGGACCAGAGGCTCAGGGCTGAGAGCACCTAGGTCTGCAGGGCCTGGCCAGGCATAGCCTCCCTTCCTTGGGGCCCCAGCCACTGCTGTCCACTCTCTTTTGAGGCTTCTCTGGCTCCCAGTCCCTCCTCCACTCCTGTGCCAGCCTCTCTGGGGGCCGTGGAGGGGTCCATCAGGCCAGGAAAATCCTGCTAGCCATTCAAGACCCTTTTAATAATATCAGCAAATACTTACATAGCCTTTGTATGTGGGAGGCACTGTTCTACCCTCTTTGAATAAATAACTTACTTAACCCTCCCATTTTACAGATGAGTTACTGAGGCATGGAGCAATTAATAACTACCCCAAGGTCACATCACTGGTGAGTGGTGCAGCAGGTTCACACATTCATACATACACTCCCTCTCCAGCAAACCTCTTGCACTCCTCCTGTTCTGAAGGGCTCGATGCCAATTTCTTGGGGGAATTTTGCTTGGCTGGATTCTGTTTAGCTCTCTAACGATGCTGGGCACACCTTGTTTTGTAGGCCAGTTATTGTGTCTGGGTCCTCGCCAGACTTTGAGCTCTCTGGATCTCTCTGCAGCTTGGCTAGAGAGCAGATTGGGGGCCGGGTCCCTGGCCCTGAGCTCAGCTTTGCTAGAAGCTGCACGGGGAGAGGGAGACTGGACACTGCCCTTCAGGAGGCTGCACTTGGCCTCACAGAATCTCAACACCACCAGGACAGGGTCGGTCGTGAACCATGCTGGGGCATGGGCCAGCAGACATGGCAGGGGAGCCAGGGAAGAAAGGCCACTGGGGGCTTGTGGTCAGGGAGGCTTCCTGCAGGAGGCAGCAGGTTCAGGAAGTTGAGAAGGGAGTGACAGGACGCAAAAATGCTAGTGATCTGGAGAGTCTGTTGTCCTGAGTTGGGCCTTGGGAGTATACTCTGTGTGCAGGTCCCAGAGAGGCCACCCAGGCCCACAGAGATGCAGGGCCCCACCTGGCTGTGTGTGCCCACTGGGGACTGCCACCTCAACAAGAAAGAGAGCCTGGAGACAGGGGTGGGAAGTGGTGAGGCAGAGTGGGGGCTTCTGCTGTGCCATTTTGTGGACCTGCATGCACTGACAGACATACAGACATGCACCACCCCCAGACACAAAGAACCACAGACATACATGCAAATACACATACACGTATGCTCACTTGGACAGGGAAAGACTAGAGAACACAAACAAAGATGCGGAGAGACACATGCAACTCATAGACACACATGCATAGACGGGAGTGGCCATACCACAGGGGTTCACACGTATACACACACACGTATACACAAACCAGCACACAGAGCCACATATCCAGACGTATCCAGGCTTACAGAGACACACGCCCCTGACACATGAAGATGCTCAGAGTCAGACATGGAGCCTTACGGATCCCAGAGGCACAGGCAGTTCCAGACAGACATGGGCCAAGAGCACACGTCCACACATCTGGATATGCACGAACATGCACAGAGCCCCACACAAGGTCACAGGCCGACTCACTGCCCACAGACTCATATTTGCCCTCCTCTGGATCCCAGGCCGTCTTCCTGGTGACAGAATGTTGGCACCCAACAGGTGCCCTGTGCCAGCAATGACCTCACTGGGATCACGAGGGTGGCTTGCCCTCGGGCCCTAGGAGGCACTGCAGTGGGGCCTAAATTCTGGGGTCTGGGCCTCTCTGAGCTGCCTGAAGTCCCAGATCCTACTGTTGGGGTCTGCTGAGGCTGGTCTGCAGTGGCTCCTGCCTCCCTGCCCTGGAGGGTGGGGTGGGTGGGGTGCATAAGCAGTAGGTGGTCTGGCCATCCCTCACTCAGGTCTTGGTCTTAAGACCCTGGGAGACAGGGGTCTGTCCTCCCTCAAGAGTTGGGGGAGGTAAAGGCCATCTGTGAGAATACACTTACTCACTTGTGGTGCGGGAGGCAGAGATTCTGGGCACCAGGGCCAAGAAGGAGGGATCCAGGAGGGGTTGCATAACTGTCAGCCTCAGGGAGGTGACAGGAGACTGGGGAGCCTGGGAGATGTAAAGATGTTCCCTACTCCTGAGCAAGGCTGTTACGTAACTTCCAGTTTGGCCTCGGGGAGGTGACCTGGTAAGGAGGCCCAGAGCAGGCACAGCCACCCAGCGCTACGGCCCTTCTACACCTCAGTGAGCCTGGGGCTCCAAACGCAACCCTGCTCCCCATGGGCGGTCTGCCTGGGCACCTCCCACCTTCCCAGCCTCTCTGCTTCCCCATGTCCTGCTGCCTTTCAGAATCTGGCTCAAGGGTACTTTTCAAAGGAAGGTCTCTGTAATTCCTCCCATTCCTTTCCTGGGGGGCTATGCCAAGTGTGGGGCACCCAGGGTGGAGAAGTGGAGAGTAGAGAGTGCTGTCCAACATCTGATGGGAGGGCTCCTCAGCCCGAGGGTGCCCCCCACCCCGGCATCTTCCTTCACACCAGCAGGCTGGAGCTCTCCCACACCCCCTCAGGACGACGAGCAGGGCCCCGACCTGCTCAGCCTCTAAGTTTGACGGTGACTCGTCTCATCAGCTGGACAATAAATGAGCTGATGGTTCATCTGGTCTGCTGAAGGTGGGTTGGGTTGGGGAGGGAAATGTGTGTGCCCAGGAGCCAGTGTGTGTGTGTGTGTGGTGGCATCTCTGGATTGGGAGGAAGGAGCAGGGCCTCCGCACCCCCAACTTAGTGTATCCTCCTTGGCTAACAGCAGGAAGTGCCCAGGTCTGGGCCAGGTGATAGGATCAGGCCTGCTGGGACTTCCTGCCTCCATCAGGTCCCCCAGCTTCTCCCAGCATCCTCTCCTCGCCCCCAGCAGCTCTGTGGTGCCATCCCCACCTGCACGCATGGGATTAGTGTGCCTGGATCTGGGCTCATGATGTGATGAGAAGCAGGGCGCCCTGGGGGTCTGCGGCCTTCTCTTCCTGCAGGGCCTCACCTGCTGTGTTATTCTCCAGCTGTGCCTCCTCCAGGCACTTCTTGTGCTGCTCCTCAATCATCCGCAGATGGTAACATTCCTCCTCCCACTGCAGGTTGGTCGCCTGGCCGCCCTGAGGGACAGAGACAGGGAGGGGCCCCATCATCCTTCATCCTCATAAGCAGTGTACCTCTCATCCACAGACTCCAGAAGCATGAGACCAACAAGGCCTAGTCTTCTGACTGACTCAAGTTCCAGATGGAACCCCAATCCCAGCTGCAGACTAAAACCCGATCCTGACCTGGATCAGATCCAGAACTCTTACCCACTGTCCCCACAGCCGGGTCCTGTCCCCCTTGAGGGCCCTGCCATGGCTTCCTGGTAGCACCAATACCATAGCTGTAACAGCTGTGTCTTTCTGTGGGTGGCGTTATGGAACCGCTCTGGACAAAGGTTCGAGGGCCTCTCCGTAGGGTCCAGAGCTGGCCCTCTGGACTCTGCCACCCTGCACCTGAGGTTGGGAGTCCTTGGTCCGTGCCTCAGTCTCCGTGGACGAGTGGGGCCCAGCTGGTGGTTATGGTTCTGGGGCGCTGGTCCCTGGAGGTAGGCCTGGGAGGAATCCAGGAGGCTGGCTGCATCTTTTAGCATCTGTCCCTGTTCTGGGAGCCTGTACCCAGTCTCCTGGGTCACCAGGCTGGGAGGGGGACACTGGCCCTCCTTACCCAGACCTCATCTGCCTTCTTCTGAGCTATTCAAGTTATATCAGATCTAATGAAGGAGGGGAGGTTTCAGGAAGTAAGAGAGGCCCCTCTAGCATGGCTTGCCATCCCACCACACCTCCTCTGCCCCCTGGGAGGTGGGGAGAAAGGATGGAAAAGCCTAAGCCTCTTGCCTCCCCTTTCCTGCACCCTGGCTAGGGATCAGGGATGGAACTGGACCTGCGTTCTGGTGTGGGGGGTGGGTGGACGTTGGCATTGGGGCCAACATTGACTAGGGGTGATGGCTGCCCAGGGACAGGCAGAAAAACACAGGTCTTTGGAACCACTGGGTGAGCAGGGCAGGTGAAGGCCTCCATGGAGGAATCACTGAGCTGGTAGGAACGTCTGCGGTTCTCTTTGGCTTTGGGGAAGTGGCTACCACCCCTGGGCAACCACATATCAGTTTCTTCCTCTCTGCTCAGGGAAGAGAATGCCACAGTCCCCAACAGGGCTGTTGGAGAAAGTTCGGCAAGGCAGCTCCAGAATCAGAGACTTACAATGTCTCGTCCAACCTGTCCCTCCTGCCCTGGGACAAGGTCCTGCCTCAAATGGGCCTTAAGCACCTCCCATTCTGACTCAAAGTCTTGTTGCAGTGGGGCTAGGGAGGAAAGTGTTTCCTTCCTTCTGGCCTGGTACCAAGGGTGTGACTTTAACCATTGTTCTAAGTAAGGTGACCCCACAGAGGGATAAGCATCCCAGGTGCCAGGGAGCTCTCGACTGCTAGAGAGGAAGGGGGTCCAAGCAGAAATTGACAACTCCATGCTCAGGAGGCTGCATAGCTGAGTCCCCTTCCACTCAACAGTGTCACTCCTTGTGGAGGTCTTGGTGCAGCCTCATTGTCACAAAGGTCATCAATGTCTCACTTTCCAAAAATATGCCGTTAAGCACCACAGCTGGCCTGGCCCAGGTACAGGGGAAGGCCTCGTTGTCCAGGATGCCTCTCAGACTCCCCAGCACTCAGACCTCACTTGCCCATGTGTCAGGGCCTGGAAGCCCTACAGTGAACCTAGATTCCATCTTGAGCCATTAACTTTATCAGCCAATGGGGGTAAAGATGTGAGCTGGTAAGTCATTTAAAACTTGGCATATGGGGGCAGCCTGGGTGGCTCAGCAGTTTAGTGCCACCTTCGGCCTAGGGCGTGACCCTGGAGACCCTGGACCGAGTATCACATTGGGCTCCCTGCATGGAGCCTGCTTCTCCCTCTGCCTGTGTCTCTGCCTCTCTCTCTCTCTGTCTCTCATGAATAAATAAATAAAATCTTAAAAAAAAAACTTGGCTTATGGAAAGTAACAGATCTCTTATGGAGCAGGATATGGTCATTTGTATAACTGTTTAAAAGAAAATACATGAGACTTGAAGGAAACGTCCTGTGGTCCCTTTCTGGGGTCACGTGTTTCCCGTCTTGCCAAAAAGCATTACTCAGACCGAAACACTCAAGATGCTCTGTCCTAAGTGATCTGTGGTTGGCATGTGCTGCTCAGGCATGGAAAGAGAGGTGGCCAAAGGACCCCAGAGGTCGCCTCTGGAAGAAGGATCTGGGGATGGCTTGTGTCTCACCATTGGTCTATATTGCTTTTCTGGGGCATGCTTCCCCCCAAAGTGCCTTCCCAGCCCTGTTGCCCTCCGGCAACACGGCTACTTTCTGGCACCTTCCCAGCCTCACCTGTGTCTCCTGCCCACTCTCCCCTCACTGCCCCCTCAACAGGAACACAGGGTGGATGGTAGTAAACATCTCTTGTTGCTGCTTTCTACCATCCTTTACCTTCCTCTGGTGCCATGTCCTCATCCCTACCTGCGTAACCACCTCCTTCTGATAAACCATCCTCTAAGAGATCACCATGTGATCAGACTTGAGTCCATCAGAGCATTCCTAGCCTTAGTGCCTGGCACATGGCCCAAGTCAGGGTGCTCAGATCCAGCAGGCTCATTTCTGGGACTTTGGATTAAGCAATTAGACAGGTAGATTTTGTCTTTCCCACTAGATTGGAAACCTCAAAAGGTGCAGGGGTTAGAACTACTGCCACCATCTTGCTACTTCTTGTGTTGTTGTGGAACACTACAACGAAAGCCACACAGGTAAAGGCTGAAGCAAGAGATGGAGAAAAACTGGGTCCTCTTGACATCATCTGAGTCCCTAGATACAGCCATGCCTGAAAGTAGGCCTGTTTCCAGCAACATGAATCAATGTCTTTCTTTATTGCTTGAGTCAGTTGAGTTTTTTATCCCTATAACCTAAAAAGTCCAGACTTGTGCTCTGAGGACAGGATAACGGATGCCCTCATTTGCTGCGTCCTCCTTTTTTTTTTTTTTTTTTTTTTTTTTGAGAGAGAGATCGTGTAAGTTGGGAGGAAAGGAAGGCAGGGGGCAGGGACAGAGAGAGAGAGAATCTCACAAGCAGGCTCCATGCCCAAGGTGGAGCCAACACACGGTTTGATCCCACAATCCCGAGATCACAACCCTAGCTGAAATCAAGAGTTGGGACACTTAACCAACTGAAGCATCTAGACACCCTTTTGCTGGGTCCTCTTAAGCCAAAGCTGTGGCCATGCTGTTGGCCAAGAGATAATCCTTTTTCAATTACCAAGAGCATCATAGGGTTCATAGAGGCTTCAGCCTGCCACTCTATGATGCTGGAAGGCTATTGGGTCAACTACTCTAGCCAACTCTGCCCGTCCCATCCAGCAGTACAGCCACAAAGCCTTTCCTGAGAGACAGTTCGCAGGGGAGGGACAGGAAACCCTGGGGTAATCTGGCAGCGTGGGCTGTCTCTGAATAAAGTGAGGGTAGTTTGGAAGATGAGTTCTGTCTTCACTCTGGCTTAGCTGAGTGCTAGACTCCATTTCCAAAAGGGTAGAGGAAAGAGACACCCAGAGAAAGACCTGAGGTCCCCTAGCAAATGCACATTCCTAGATGGGACCTACATCTCTTACCACTAGTCTGGATTGCATCAGTCCCTCTCCATGGCCTTGCCTTGGGCCATCTGGTCCATCACTGCCCTTTGGGGGCCAGGGCGAGGGCAGCTCCCTGTAGCCCTTATCACTGAGGAATTTAGTCAGACTTTGAACTTCCTCTTTCACTTATTTCACTATACTAAACATCCTCATTATCCCTCTGGACTCCAGACACATTAAGTGAAAATTCCCAGCCAAATATAGCCTAGCCTATTGATTCCAGGAAAGGGTTCCAGGGTGAGAGATAGCTGAGGTATGGGCTTCCTAGAGAATGGGTGCTGGAGGTGGGTTTCTGAAGAGGTGTAAATTTGACCATTGGAGGGAATAAAAACATTCCAGAAAGTAGGAGTAGTGTGTACAGAAGCATGGAGGTTTGAGAATGCCTAATACACCCAAAGTTGCAAATACATGGTGTGGCTGCTGCAAGGGATCCTGAGGCATTGGGAGACAAGTTGTGGGACACAGGCAGGGGCCAGGCCTCTTCAGTTCCTGCCTGTACCAGTGTACTAGCTTTCAGTCCCACCACCTGCAACCCAAGGCCCCCAGAGCCTAGGAGTCAAAGCCCACACTTCAAAACTGGCATTCAAGGCCCTCCCTCTTTCTACCACTGCCTACACTTCCTGACTTGTCTCCTGATGCCCCACATGGAGAGGAAGAAAGCAGGGCTTTCTCTCAAGCCCTCCCCAACTCCCCTGCTGGGCTGAGCTCCAAGGGAGCTGAAAGTCACCCAACCTTGTGGGTGGGTTGAGGTAGGAGTTTCAGGCCAGACTGAGCCCCCGGCACCTTCTCTTTCGCAGGAGTTCCTGAGCCCAGAAGAGGAGGCTCAGGCAAGAGTGAGGATGTCTGTAGCTTCCCTTCCTCCAGGGTCTGCTTATGTCCCCTGCCATGGTACTGGCTGGGTGTGGGAGGTGACAAACTGGGAGTTGGAGGAGAAACCTCAGTCTGTGGTTGGGGGCACAGATGAACCAAGTCTCAGTAATTCTGCTGGCTTACCTGGGTCCCCTCTTCTCTATGCTCACTGTGAGGGGCTTGGGTGAAAGCCCTACTTTCTCCTCCGTGTGTGTGTGTGGGGTCCATGAGATCTGGGATAAGGTGCAGATGCTGGAAGTTGTGGCCGTAGATGCTAGGGGCTCTGAAAGATGGGGGGGTAACTCAGGTTTTGTGGGTGCCATATGTACCCCTCCAGGGAAGCTTGAACTCCACAGTTACTGACCTGTAATTAGAACCCCCAGCCTCATTTAGGGCCAGAGAACTGTGGCAGAAGAAGCCAAGGGAGACAGAAGCTTGTGACCCTCTGAGGGGCAGCTGGTTTCTGAGAGGGGTCTAAAATGCAGCAAGCTGGATTAGGTGAGACAGAAGAAAGAACTTCCTGCCTGCAAATGACCAAGCCCTGGGAGCCAGTGTAAATTATTTGTCCCGCTTT